AAAGGTCCTCAACTTGCCTTTCCCGAAGACCCAGAAGGGGATACAGTCCTTGCTCGGGAGCCTCAACTACTATGCTAAGTTCATCGAGGACCTACCCGTTTATACGAAATATCGGACGAACAACTCCGTTCCGGGCGAGATTTGGAGAACCCTAAGCATGCGTTCAAGATACTCAAGGGCCGACTAGTGTCGACACCACTACTCCAGCACCCTGACCCCGGGAGGCAGTACGTAATCATATTGCACGCCAACCCCCTGGGCAATCAGTGCGGTTCTGGGGCAAGACCACGACGACACCATACTACCCGTGCGGTTCGTAGGACGGGTGCTCCAAGACGCCGAACTCAGGTACCACCCCGCCGAGAAAGAAGTATTAGCGCTGCTCCGAGTCCTGAACACATGTCCACTATGATTACGAGCTGTTCCGAGAAGAAAATTCGCGTGTATACCCGGTACTCGGTGCTGGCGTGGTTGTTCAAGTCCAAGACGGTAGACGGGAGATGCCTCAAGTGGGCGGTCAACCTGTCTCCCTCGGACCTGGATATCCGGCGAGTCGAGAACGACCAAGATGGCCTGGCAGCGATCCTGGGAGCGGGAATCACGCCCCGGGAACGCCTCGACGAAGTCGCCGAGATCCTAGTTCCGGACAAGGGTTACCGGATCAAGACATCCCCGGTCAGCCTGGAAATGCTCTCTAGTGACCACATCGGACACCTGCTGAGCTTCGACGGAGCTGCCAAGAGAGATGGGTCCGGGGGCGCCGCATGCATCCTCTGGAGCCTCCCGAGTTGGGAGATTGTGGCTGCCACGGGACACTTCCTCGAGAAGGCCACCGTGAACGAAGCCGAATACTCCGGACTAGTCAAAGGCATGCAACTCGCTCTTAACGCGGGGATCCAGGAATTGGTAGTAGTCGGAGACTCCCGGTTAGCAATACAGCAGCTCCAGGGGGTTATCGGGTGTACCCAACCCCACCTGTTGAGGCTGCTCCAGGAAGCCGAAGGACTCCAAGCTAAGTTCAAATCCTTGCGCCTGGTACACGTGAAGAGAGACTTCAACGCCGCCGCCGACTACATTTCCAAGCGGGTCATCCAAGAGCAGTCCTCATTAGAGGTCACGGCCCGGGGGAGCGGAAGTTGCTCCAGGGCCTGAACCGGATCCACGAAAAACTGATGAAGGACCCGAGTCCCAGGGAACAATCGCTGGTAGAATGTGCTTTCATAGCCACAGCCCGGAGCATACCTAGGTGTCCCCCGGAGGGTGAAGCATTCGTGACGGCGCGTTTGGTGCCCGAGCAAAGCGATGCCGCTAAAGAATCAACTCCGGAATCCGGAACTGACCACTCAGAATCTGCTGGCCCCGGGGCCGACGAGCTGGGAACCGAAGGCGCAGAAGACGGGCTGACATCCGGTCCCTGAAACCCCGACTCCCAAGACTCCGAAGAAGATCCTGAGGACACGCGTAGGGAACGATGGAGGAGGATTTGTTCCCACCAAGCGCACGACCTCGGACTAGCGCCCCTGGTGAGTTTCCTCCGGGGCGAAACAGAGCGATTGTCCCTGAGGCAGACAACGCACCTGGCCAAGATAGCAGACCAGTTTGTACTGGACTCCTGGGACGCATTGTTCTATGTGAGTCGAAACACTCCGGAACGCCCCCGGGATGCTGCCGACCGCCTCCGCCTGGTGGTCCCCCAAGACCTCCAAGAGGATATTCTGTCACGCAGACCTCCAAGGCTCACCAGGGTATCATCCGGACTTATGAGAGACTACGCAAAGAATTCTACTGGATTGGGATGTTCAAGGACACGGAGCGATATGTCTAGGAGTGCGTGGATTGTGCCACGGCTAAGGGGTTACACCGGAACCCAGGCTCATCACCCGGTAACTTGCTGGCTACGCCACCGTTCCAAGTCGTCTCGATGGACTTCGTCATACCGTTGCATCAGTCAGCCCGAGGGAACACCGCACTACTCTTGTTCCAGTGCGCGTTCTCGGGATTCATCATGTGCAAAGCCATGGCGAGCACTGAGGCCCAGGACGTGGCCGAAGCTTACGAAGAATGCGTGTTCCGGAGGTTCGGGGCCAGCGAAATGATCCGCCACGACCGAGACCCACAATTCATGGGTCGCGTGTTCAAGCACTTCCGGGAGATGCTCGGGAGCAGGCAGCGCGCGACCCTGGCCTACCGCCCCCAGGCGAACGGACAGCAGGAAAGGTCAGTGCAGACAGTGATCAGAAGTGTCAAGGCGCACGTCCAGACTGTAGACCAGAGTGATTAGGACGAGCTAGCCGAAAAGTTCATGTGGGCGTTGAACACCTCCTTCGACTTCACCCAACTCGATACACCATTCTACTTAGTGCACGGTTGGGACGCCTAAGGCCCTGTTGAAGCCATGATGGGAGATTTCCCCCGAGAAGTACAACTCCGAGATGCCCAGGAATGGCGCACGAAGATCCAATGCCAAGTCGAGTACGCCCGGGCCTGGGCCCGGGACCTCCAAGCGAAGGCCAAAAGCCGCCGAGTCGAGGACCATAACCAGAAGTGGAAACACCTAACGGACCGGCTCAAGGAAGGCTTCGAGGTTGGGGATTCAGTTTGGCTCTACCTAGCACGGGTTCGCCCCGGGCTCACCAAGAAGCTAGCTCATCTTTGGCACGGTCCATTCCGGATCCTGGAAAAAGGTAGTGATTACCGGTATCGTCTCCAGGTTGAAGGGACCGAGTATCGATTTTACCCCTGGGTCCATGTCAGCCGGCTTAAGCCCCGAGCCAAGTACCCGGAGCGACCCTTGGAGGCCATGAATATCCCGGAGGACGACGGCTTCGACGCGGCGCTGCTTCGTGAAGATAGCTGGGAGCCCGATGAGGGCTCCGGGGAGTACGAAGTAGAAGCAATACTCGATGTACGTTGGGTTACCCGGACCCGCGCCAGTCGGCGCGTCAAAGAATACCAAGTGAAATGGACGCGCCAGACTGGGTTCCTCAGGGACGCCTCAATTGCGGGAGGCTCCTCTACGAGTTCGACCAGGGAGAGCGAGCCCGCGTGCGTTTTCAGGCCATGCAGTCTGGAGACGAGCTCCCGGACGAAGAGGTCCGGTAGAGCCCTGGGGCGTGGACCCGGAGACTACTACAGCAGTAGACCCCGGAGTGTCCCCCAGAAGCCTCATGTCTCCGGGTGAGAATACTCCCCGGGACATGAGTGAAATACACCTCCCCTGGGGCGTGGACCCGGAGCTAGCTACCGCAGCAAGTTCTGGGGTGTCCCCCAGAAGCCTTGTGTTCCCAGATGAGAATACTCTCTGGGATACAAGTGATTTCCATATCTGCATGACATATACATGTTATCAAGTGAAGAAGACAACAAGAAAAACGAGGCAAACGCACGGATATATTAAAGAAGCAAACGGAGGCTTGGGGAAGGCCCAGGCCAAGCTGGTCCCCGGGAACTAACGACGGCCGCGGGGCATAACATACTCCACAGGCTCGGGAACAGGAAGGCGATTGGCGTGAACGGTCACGCGAGCGCCCCTGACAGCCGGGGACACGCTCTCCGCGATGCGCTCCTCCGGGCAAGATGACCCCAGTAGAGACGTGCTGGCTCGCGCTGGTCCAGTATATGAAGCTGAGTACGAAGAGTCTTGTGTGCCTCCGGATTCATGGGGATCCACACGCAGGTCTTCCGGGAGTGACGCCAGAACGCTGCCTCAGTCCGGAATAGCTTGCTCTCGGGAGGAAGAAGCGTGGCCACGTCCGCCTGGACGTCCTTGAGTGCCCTCTCATACTTCCGGGCGCCCAGCACGATCCTGATAAAGGGGGGGGGGTGCGCCTCGATGTTCCGATTTAGCACGATCCAATGCGTGCGTTCCCATTCCTCTCTGCGCCAAACCCACATAAACAGAACATAACGCTTGGCGATGGCCACGAACACCGGAGTCGATGTACCCCGGACAAACAAGAAGACCTTGACACGCTCATCGAACATGTCGTCCCAGGGAGCCTGGTTCTCGACGATGTCCACGTACTCTGCGACTGGGACACGTTCCGCCACGGAGTGGGCCTCATCGTTCATGGCCTCATAGTCCGGGAAGCCCCGGTTTTGGTGCTTGTGCCGAGTGCTAGTCCGACGCACGCGCGTGTTGTATACGATCCAAGACTTGGCCAGCCGGGTATCCGTATGATACCCCTCGTGGCCCATCTCCGGGGTCCACGGCAAAGACTTGACTCGGCGAGGAGGAGTGTCCTCATCGTTCGAAGAGACGTCAGAAAGTGCCGGTGCGGTCTTCTCCCGGGGAGTACGCGAGGAACTTGACTTGCCAGGCGAGGGAGTCGGAGGAACAATTCGTTTGGGGCGTTTCGCTGTCGGGGTCTTCGACTTGGGCCGAGAACGTTTACCAAGAGAAGTTTTGTGATCAGGTTCATCGCCACCCTTCTCATCCCCGGAGGCGTCTTCTTCATGCTCCGAAGGACTGGGACTATCCCGGGGCTGGAGTGGCACCGGAGGCGATGGGTTCACGCCCTCGGCTAGTCCCAGCGCCCAGTCATCATCCTCAGCCTCAGCCAAAGCCCGGTCAAAAACCTCCTCGGGCACGTGCTGGAACCAAGGTACCTCATCCAGGAACGATAATATCAACGCCCGACGCAGAAATGCCAGCTCTTCCACGGAACGAACTGGGTCAGCATCGGAATCTATGGGCCGATAACCCCCCCCTTTGGATCGGTCTGGGGGACGTAGACTGTGGGTCTGACCTGACGTAACCCGTCTGCAGACATCCGAGGGCCCGGTTTTGAGACACCTTCGATCTCGACGTCCTCGGACTCGGGAGGGTCCCGCGCCCCGGGGTTCCCGTCCATGGGGGAGTCTTCCTCGCGTTTTTCTTCTTGAGGAGTCCTCCTCTCTTCGTCATCACCCCCGCCCATATCGTAGTCCGCATCGAACAGGTGACCAAGGATAGTAGCTCCGGAGATCTCTGGATCAGGTCGTAGTAGAGAGTTTCCTTGAGGAGGAGGAGAAGGGAGAGCCTCAGAACCTGTCGAGTGGGAAGAAGTGTCCTTAGGCACGGCAGCCGCCTTGGCCGGATTAGAAAGCGGAACTCCCTGGCACTTCTTTGGAAAGGCCGGCATTGGGAGAGATTGTGACTTCCCGGAGTCCTCGGTTGAGGGATCATCTCCTCCCCCGACTCCGCATTCCTTGTCAGATGCCGCGCTGGAAGCATCATCGGAGTCTTCCCCCTCGCTCTCGACCTGTGTGGGCTGAAACGGAGGCGGTGGAGCGTTATTCCGGCTCACCATCAGAAACACGGAGTACGGAGGTTGATAGTACGCCGACAATTGTTCTCGCAATTCAGTCGCGCCAGTCATAACCCCTGGGCTACCTTGATCGTTAAAAAACCGGAACAGGTTGTCTGGACTGAGGAGGGTCCGGAACCGCTGAATCTCCGTGCGTAAGTCCTGATTGGCGACCCGGAGTTTCCTGATGCGTCGGGACAGGCGACGGACCTCCGCATCATGCTCAGCTTGGGGAACCGCTCCTCCGGGAATCACCGCAGGACGAGAAGCTAGCTGGGCCTGCGCGTCCTCGAGCTGGGTCTTCGCAGACACGAGTTCCCGAGAAACCTCAGTCCGAACGGCTTGAAGAGTCTTGACTTTTTCCCGTTCCACGACCAGTGCCTTCTCTGCAGCGTTCAGGACGTTTGAGGCCTTAGAGGCCTCGCCCCGCGCCTCCGTGAGCGCCCGATCCGCGTCCAGATACCTCGTCTCGGTCGGTTCTAGGCGCGACGCCAGGGTAGCCCCGTGTTGAACTTCCGCGTGGATGATGGCCCGAGTCCGGTCACAGAATCCCTGATACGAAGAGAGAGTGGTCACGTCCACTTCTCGGAGAGCAGCCTCCCACTCGCGGTCGCGTGCCTCTCGTAGGACGACCTCACGTTCCAAGACCTGCTGTAGAATAGCGTTGGTCATTTCGCTGCGTGGATCCGCACTGGTCGCGAGATTCTGGGCCGTCTCCAGGAGTCGCAGCCGATCCAGAGCGAGCCGAAGCGCGTGAAGAGTGTTCAACACGCGGTATCCAAACCGGCTAGATCCGAAGACATTTAGGAGAGGACCGGCCTGGACCTCCGAAGCCTGAGCGCGATGTCCCCAAGCCGCGGATGGCGAGCCGCCAGAAAGATGTTCCGGAGTGAGGATATCGGTAGGCGTACGGTCATCAGCAGAGACCAGCCGCGAGAGTGCCTCGAGCTGCGGGACTGTGAGCTCCGGGACGCGGACGCCCACGTGAATGAGGCCCCTTACGTCTCGAAAGCGCAGCCCCGAGGGGTTGCCAGTCGCCAGAGCTTGGATGTCCTCCGTGGCAGCCGGCAGGTATACGAACGACGGTGGAAGTTGTGCGGGGGCCCGCGAGCGCCTCCAGTCTGGGAGTGGCTTCACTACCGGAGGGGAGGTTGACGTTTAGGCCTCGGAATCCCAGGGAGCCAGCCAGCTCAGGGCCCGTGCGCTCAGGCCGAACTACGTCGATGAAAGAACCGCGGATGTCGGCCGCAAGCGAGTAGGACGGCGCGAGGAGAGCCTCACGCAAGGGCCCGCGAGAGCGACCAGCGCACGAGCATGGTCGAGGCTCCCCTGCACGGTGTCGGCCGTGAACCGGAAGGGACCCCCGCCGGGTCGGAGTGGCTGGCGGGGCGTTTCACCGACGCCAGGAGATGCCGGGCAAGTCATCGTTTACGACTCGCGGACAACTTGAGGTGTGCGTAGCTGCGCGCCAAATTCGAAATGACAAACAAGATTCCCATCGAACCGAGCACCGAGAAAGTGCAGTTGCGGCTGGGACCCGGCGATAGACACGCCTGTAAGGACAGTCCTCCCATGATGATTTTCGAACATTGACAGGTGCGATGGAGAGCGACCCGGGAACGATTCCCGGAAAAGGGAAGTAGCATGATGTCAGCCCCCCGAGAGACCTTTTCTCCGAAAAGACGCAGAAACCAGAGAGAGTTCCGGTCCCCGGAGGAGCGAACAAGACCGAGGAAAAGGCGGCGGTCCCCGACCACTCTAGCGAGCCAGGACGGTCCCCGAAGACCACAGAGAAGGCGAGTATGCTGTAACCCAGACATCTGGGCAAGTCTGACACGACGTATGGGACACCAGCATGGGGCGGTTGTGGCATAGCGCCTCCTAGTTTTCCCGAGGAGTTGGATGCCGCTCCCCGGGAGGACGTGCCCACACCTTTTACCGAGAGAGCTGGTCAAGGGCTCTCGGGTCCTCGGAAGTTCGCCCGGAGGGACTTTGGGCCGCATCGATTCCCCGAGAGAGCTCGTCACGGGCTCTCGGGTCCTCGAGTATCCGCTCCGGTGGGGGCCTAGTTCCCCGGGAACCGGCACCCGCGGTTCCCGGGAATTACCCGGGAACTCGTACTGTCCCGATCAACTGCAGCCGGTCGAGGAATCTGGGCGATGAATGTGGGTCAGACAGGTGATCTCCCAAACGTCCGGTCCATAGTGACCCCAAGTCTTCCCATAGTGAAAACCAGTGTTTAGCTTATCTTAGGATTAGCTCTTGTCGAAGTGTCGCCACCAATCAGCGGCCTAATAATTCAGTCTCACTTTTCCCTTCTAGTGCGCAGAGCTCGTTTCTTCGGCTTTCCCAAGAAAACAAAGCGTCACCGAACTAAGGAAGAGTTCGCGGCCCGGGGGCCGTGTCTGGAGACTAACTCCCCAAGGTAAACTTTAAAGCTCATTTG